TTTATGAAAATGTAAACTTAATAAGCTATGATCGCGTAAGCTGAATTATGGATGGATAGTTGGATTGCCTTCATAATGAAATGGGTAGACCTAACGCTTCCACTGATTTTCACATTGTTTTCGAAGGTATGAAGACCAAGATAGTGCGGCTTTTTGTTTGGTCGCAGTCTCCTTTCGTTGTATAGAAGTTGTTTGACCTTGTTTTTGTAACTTGGTCACATTGGTAGGAAGACTTAGAAAAAGGCACCTAGTCCAGACTGCATTGTATGCATCATCATTTGCAGAGTAGGACCGTGGACGTGGTACATTCCCAGACGTCAGTAAGTCTTGCCATTCGTAGCACCATATTACTTGTCTCATTGACGAGCTGTAATATGATGCTACGAATGGCGAGACTCATTGACAATGCCGGCGAAACGTCTGGGAATGTACCACGTCCACGGTCCTACTCTGCAAATGATGATGCATACAATGGACTCCGGACTAGGTGCCTTCCTCTAAGTCTTCCTACCAATGTGACCAAGTTGCGAAAACAAGGTCAAACAACTTCTTCACATTGTTTTGCTTCCAAAAAATGTATTACCACCCAGAGTCGACCGACCTTTTGCTTTCGTCTAGGTCTCTTCATCACCTTCAGCATGACTCAAACTAGGACGCATAAACCACTACGCCACGCTGACACGAGTAACTTTTGGTCAAATTGAAGACATGCATTTTAATGAAGATTATGTCTTTCCCATACCATTTTATGTGTTGAGGTCGTCAATGAAGCAACGTTGTATTTGCTGTTACAATCGAAAATTTGACTTCGTACTGATTTACTGATTTAAGATTACCATCTTTATCTCCAACAAGGAAGTTGTGTGAATACAGCTCCTATCTCAGATATAATGGTAGCCTCTAAAGCCTACTGGTAAGCTAAAAATAAATAATGTATTTTTCGATTTAAGTATTGTTTTCTCGACTACCAGTAAATCAGTAATATGAGATGTATTCACCCGATTTCGTTTAATGTGATGAAAAATAAAGTATAGTAGTCGATTGTAATAGCAAATATACGTTTGCTTCATCGACGATTCCACCAAAAAAATATGATATGACAGAAAGGCTTGGCCTTCCTTAAAAATTCACAGTTGCCCTGTGACCCAAAAGGCGCTCGTTTCAGTGTAGCCGAGTGGTTAGCGTGTAAAGCTCACATATTGCACTTTCGCGGTTCGACTCCCGCTGAGGGTGTTGATAAGACCGATGCGAGGTCGAAACTGCAGTCCACTCCAGCCTGGATGAGAAACAACATTTGGTAAACAAGGCTATGTGAAATTCAATGACAACGTCAGCTCAACTCATATCATAGTGTGAAAATGTTTTTTCGACCAGTCCTTCATCAGCTTAAACTGAAATTGGGTAAATACATCACATACTACTGATTTACTGGTCGGTGGTCGGTGGTCGGCAATCGCACCAGAGAAATGTGATATGGGAAAGACCTAGGCTTTCTTAAATTTTACTTCTGCCCTACGGCCCTAAGCACTTATGGCAGTGTCGCGAAATGGTTGACATGTCTAGATTATTTGCTGCACAACCGTAACCCGTGTTTGAGACCCGCCAGGGCTGCTGATGGAACCGAGGCTAGGTCGAAACTGCAGTCCGCTCTGAATAAGAATATATTGCTGGAAGTGAATTCATGTGAAATTCCATTGGAATATGAGACCTAACCATATGATTGTGGACTTATTTAACAACCAGTCCTTCATCACCTTAAACTAAATAGGTTGAATGCAGCTCTTACTTTAAATCAGCATCATTTTTTGAATTGACAGTGTGCACGGCTTCTGGTACCTCTACTTGAAGAAGACGCTGCCGAAATCTCCCGAATAGAGGCAGGCATACTTGGCGCGTCAGTTTACAACTCTGACGGCTAAACCCTCATGCCTCCAGCACTATTTGCCTAATTATCTGGACGAAAACAGAAGATGAGGCCGGGCAGACGGCTTTGAAGGTTGGCTGAGCATGGCTTGACCAGGTTTCCGTTGAGGTGAAGAACACTCGAAGGAAACACTTGACGCCAATTAACAGACAGACAAGCAGGCCACCACAGAAGTCGCAACAGTTGAGGCAAAGTTGAATGTTTTGCCCAAAAGTCTCTCCGTCTCCCATTCTTCATGGCCAACAACACTTGTATGCAGAATGCATCCTGTCGAATGGTGTTCTTACTTTCAAGCATATACAACAGTCTGTTGCCGGATGAGCTGGCTCGGCTGCATCGCCTTCCCACATACCACCTGAAGCACTTGACGTGGGTCCAGAGCCAAGGCCTACCAGCGGGTTCTGGCCGAGTTGTCGGCACTCGTGAATGCTGGTGGCCGACCGCACCGACCAATCGGGAGGTGGGTGATAAAAGGGGAAATTAGGATGATTTGAAATGCCCCCTGGGCAGGGAGGGGAGATGGGGATTTCAAGAGTTTATTCGGCGTTTTAAACAGCAATTTTCGGGTCTAATAATATGCACCTTTATGGAGAGTTTAGAGTGTTGCTAGGCCTGATAGTTGAATTTCTACAATGACATAAAACAAGTCCCAGTGAATTCCACTCAGACTTATCTTCCAAGAGACTTTCTCAACCTGTTTGGACTGCAGTCTTGACCTTGTTGAGATTTGAGCAGCCTCTTAAATGATACGAAAATGGGTTGTGCACGTCAAGTCGCATGCTTACCACCCGACCAGCCTGATAACCTACTCATTTGATATATAGTAGTATCGTATAGCGTAATGGCAAATGCGGGCCATTCCTCGATAATAGTACCAATTTTGGACGCCCTGGCTCCCCTTGAGAGTCTCATCTGCTATCTGATCCATCGCCAGAAGTGACTGCGTCGCCTGATGCATAAGCTCCTGTCTCGAATGTCGTTGCGATAGGGTATAAGTGTGGTTGAAGCTTCAGCCCCACCCGGTTGGGAAAGCCTTTTAGGAGCCAAAACATGGTGGAATCCTGTGGCGTTGACGTCTCCTATTCATGGCAGTGTGGAAAATGTTACTAACGACCTCAGCTTTATCTTAACAGACCCATAGTTGTTGAAGTTCATAAATTCTAAACTCGTGTAATTAGTGTGATTCTCTAGTGTGCAAGTAAAGTCATATATTTATATGCACAGAAATACAGCTGTAAAAGTATGTACTATAAAATTCCAGACTAGTCTTAAGTTCCGCATCTGCAATGTGGTCCACTGGCAACATCGCCGCTTGACACAGAATCCTGCTTGAATTTATTTGTGGGTTCTGATAAATCCTTGACGAGGTCGGAACTACACTTTCAACCCAGTTGGGTTATTCTTTAAGAGGCAAAGCTAAGTGAAACCCAATGGTATCTTGGAGCTTTCTATTATTTTTCTTGAATTAAAATCAACTGTATAACTTTAGACTGCCCTAAGCAACCAAAGGTGCTTCGGTTTCTCAATTAAGTTCCTTAGATGGATAGGTTCACTTAACCACATGGCGTGATTGTATGACCTCGAGGCAATTTGGCTTGATTCCGATGCAAGCTGGCTCAGTTTTGCACCATAGAATGTGATACGGGAAAATGCCTGGCTTTCCTTGAAATTCACACATACCCTATGACTCAAACACACTCGTTGCTGCGTGATTAATGTGTCATGGCTCGACTACTGATGGGGTGTTTATAAGACTTAGGAGAGGTGTAAACTGTGGTGCACCTTAGCCGTGGTGAGAACACGTTATGGGAATGCAGGGCTATGTGAAAGTTAATGGAAACGCCAGCTCTACTCATATCATTGTGGGAAAATTCAACTACCAGTCCTTCATCTCCTTAGATGAAATGTGGTGAACATAACTCATAAAATTATATTCAAGCAAAGAAGGGTCATTGGTTTAGCCCTAGATGCCGTAAATATACCATATATCTATGCCTTATGGTGAAAAATTGAGTGATTAGTTTAGTTTAAGTTATATTTCAATCAAGAAGCATTAACTGTCTGTTTGTGTGTGCATAGGTACGAAAGCGGAGGTGATAGCTAAGGGTATTTAGGACAGGAGACTGCCCAAATACCATTTACCGACGATAAACTCATAAAACTGATCAGACATGAGAGAAAAAGTTTGAGATTCTCACTTTGGCGACCATCTCCTCGAGTTATTTCAAGTTAAGTGGAACTTGGTTACGCAAAGTTTTTATACAATCTGCATCATCGTAGTGCTCGAATCCGTTAGTTTCGAGAAGAGAATTCGATCCGCAGTTTCGATGCTTTTCGGTTCAGGACTAAATATGACCATACTGATCAACATTTCCACGTTGTCGACGCAATGTCTGGAAACATTTTAGGTCGCCGGTTGTTTTCTGGAAAAAGACCTGGTGTGTATTGAGTTCTCAGTAATTTCTGTGTAGGCAATCAGGTCAACTAAGCATCGAACGCTTTTTTTCCACATACTCACAAGAAATCTGGACCAGATTCCCACAGTGATCATATCACCTGCATAATCAGAATACACCCTGCCTCCAACCTAATTCCAGATTGAATTTCGGTTGCTCTAATGTGAATTGTCGTAGTGACAGCCAGTAATACTACATGTTTGGCGGAGTGTTCAGTTGCATAGTTACAGTACTATTCGCCTCTGTGGGGGTTGATGTAGATGAAAATAAGATTCTTTTTTCGGGCAATATTGTTGTCGCCATTCTCGTTGCTAACTCGCGCTGTCAATCCTGTTTTTACTGTCGCATATGAGGCCTCGGATGAGGCTGCTTCTTACATTGTAAGAGGCACCGACCAAATCCAGTGTAAGTCCGGATGAAGATTTTATGCTTTACTTGTTTTTAGTCTATTGTTCACATCTATTTTAAGTCAGTTTATTTCATTTTTGTGATTGTGAAGCTGATGACTCTGATATCGTCAATATGGAGGCTAAATTCGACGATGCTTGGAATGCAATTTCCGAGATACCTGCTGCTGATACACCCATTCCCACTTTCGACATCGTCATTGTTGTTTCATCCTTCTGGTCGGAGGGCTGAGGAAACGAATCGTGGTTGGTCCAAAAAGCGTTGGACTCTGCCCATGAACTAGATTTAGTTAGCATGACCCTCAATGACTAGCACCATTATGACTCTTTCTTATTTCCATTGCTGATCATTCACAACTTAGGTTGCTAGTGTTGAAATCAAATTAATTTTCAATTTATATACACGTATCCGAGACGCAAGTAGATCTTATTTAAGAGCATTTAAGTAATGTTACGAGACTACCAGTAAATCAGTAATATGAGATGTCTTAACCCAATTTCGTTTAAGGTGATGAAGGACTGGTAGAAGAATTTTCCCACAATGATATGAGTAGGGCTGAGGTTTCCATTGAATTTCACATAGCTTTGCTTTCGCCAAAAGGATTTTTATTCATGCAGGAGTTAAGTGCAATTTCGACCCTAACTCGGCCTCATCAGTCGCCCCAGCAGGACTCCAGCTTTGGAAGAGGGGTGCATAGTCTTGAAACTTTATGCGCTACGCAACACTGCCACCCATGCCCTTAGGCTCATAGGGCAATTTTTAATTTCAAGGAAGAGATGGTCTTTCACATATCACATTTAGACGCAGTATATTTTGACATGGGAATCGACTATATTAGTTATATTCTATTTATATGTTGGTTTTATGCATACGATGAACTGTTAGTCATGAAAACCTACTTATAAATGGAAGATAAGTAGATACGAAGAGAAACTGGGTTTCGATGAATCTCCTGAGATAACATTGTTAGAGGGACCTTCA